GCCCTATCGCTCCCCCCACCCACCCGCCCAAGCCCGCAGGAGCCCAGGGCAAGGGTGACAGGGCTTGGATCTAAGAGATCTCTTAGATCAGAGGGTGGGGCAAACAGGTTATGCTAATGAGTTATGCTAATGAGCTCCTGCACTTTTTCTATGAAATGACCCCTGGAGGTATTTGTGAATGTCCTGCCTTGTGCAGGGGGTTGGACTAGATGACCCTAGAGGTCCTTTCCAACTTTCTGATTCTACGATTCCAAGTGAGAACAGAAAACAGCTCCAGAAAGGCTGGTGCTGCCTATTATCTCTGCTGCTTCGTGTGAAATACAAGCTGGTGGGAAAACAAAGCTCCCCAGTTTAAGTGGCTCACCACACATCTCACTCTTGGAAGACATATATCCAGAGGCCCTTCTGAAAATGACATTTCCCCTCAATTCTTTGTTTAGGTTTTGTTCTGGCAACTACCCGGGGTTGCCATGTGCTGGTGGAGCCTGGAGATCTCCCAGAATTTAAACCTGACGTCAGGCCGCCGGGAGTCGGCCCCCCGGGGGGGGGGGGAGGCTTATTTGGAGGGTCGACGCTACGGCATTATACCTCTCCTCCCTGATCCCTCCCCTTCCTAAGGCTCCACCCCCAAACCCCCAGAAATTTCCCACTCTCGAAGGGCAGCATCCTATCCTGCTGCCGCCAGACTCATGAGATTTAAAAGTAACGAAATCTCACTGTGATAACTGGCCTGTATTTGAACTACAGAACGTACCGTAGAGAGTAGGAAGAGTCCGGCAGCACCTTAAAGACTAACAAAATTTGCGGCAGGGGACGGCCTTTTGCGAGTCACGTGGCTCACGCCTTCAGATCTGTGTGTGTGTGTGTGTGCGCGCGCGATGCAGTAGCAATGCGCACAGACCCAATATATTTAAGCCCTGATTTCGCAGATCCAAAATTACCTCCTTGCCAGGGAAAGGGGCTAGAAGCCCAGTGCTTTAGACAGGCCTGACTTGGAAACCTTCCTTCCCAAAGAGCCGGAAGGCCCCTCGAAGCTCAGGGAACCATCCAGCCCACAGGGCAGGCCTATCAGATCGCCACCCGGCAGGCAGCAGCATGAGAATTTCCTTCCTAGCAAACCCCCCCCCCCAACATCTCCTGATGGCCCTAAGGTAGTCATCTCCTGATGGCCTTGGTAGTCATGTACAAACTGGGTGCTCAAAGTCTGATTGCATGAAGGGCAGTGTTCCCTCTAAGCTGAGTTAGTGTGAGCTGCCTCACAGTTTTTTAGTCTCTGGCTCACACATTTTTTTTCTTAGCTCAGGAAGGATGGGGCTCCAGAGGAAACTAATTCATGAGGTAGCCCAATCGCTTGCTCACAACTTGAATGCCTGTAGCTCACAAAGTAGAATTTTTGCTCACAAGACTCCACAGCTTAGAGGCAGCATTGATGAAGGGCCATCTCATGTGAATTCTCCACCTCCAAATCAAGAACGACAGCAGCAGTACGTGAATCATGTGCAAAAGGTCACCATGTGACTGGGTGGTCCCACGGATCTCCTCCCAGTTCAGATACAGTCACTGCCACATGGATGCAACATTGGATCACCAGCCTCCCACTGTGGTCTGGAGTTCTTCCATAATTGCAATTGATCTTCCCGATGCCCACGTTCCAGGCTAGAATGACAAGACCTGTGAGCAGCAACCCTTAAACTCTTCCTCGTCAGATTCCTTCAATAGGGCCTCTTTGATTTACTCACTCCCGCTCTTGTTGCTGCCCCAATGGCCACAGGAACTTTGGCATGTGTGGCTCTTGTTATATCTGGGGCCTTGAGTTCCCTACTGCCTAGGGATGCCAGCCTCCAGGTGGGACCTGGGGATCCCTCAGAATTACAGCTCCTCTCTAGACGACATAAATCAGTTTCCCTAGAGAAAATTGAGAATGTGGATGCTTTGGAGGGTGGGCTCTGTGACACTGTACCCCACTGAAGTCCCTGTCCTCCCCAGGCTCCACCCCCAAATATCCAGGGGTTTCCCAAACTGGATCTGGCAACCCCCCCCCATCCCCTGCCGGTGCCCGGGGGGGGGGGACACGACCTGGCAACCCTAGTGCTGCTGCCACCGCTGCCTGAGGCCTCTCAACTTCCACAGTTCCTTCTTCCCTGGTGGGGACCCTTCCAGTATAGTTTCCTTCAGCTCTTTTCTCTCACTTGGTCCTCTCAGAACCCCTTTGCACTTTGCTTTATTCTCCAAGGCATTAAAAAAAACCCTTTTCCCAACCAAAACCAGCCACATATACTGGTAATAATTTGCGAATGTTAAGGATGCCAACCTCCAGGTGGGGCCCAGAATGGCAGCAGACTCCCAGCCAAGGGAGATCAGTTCCAACTGGAGGCAACGGCAGCTTTGGAAGTTGGTCCCTGGGGGGCATCACACCCTGCTGAAGTCCCTCCCCTCTCCGGACTCCACCCTCACGAGGTTCCACCCCCAAATCCCCAGGAATAACTGGAGTTGTCAGCCCTGAAGGGTAATGTGAAGTCATTCATTTTCTTCCCATTTCACACAGCTGGGAGTCAACACATACAGCATGCGCACTAATCCCCAAGTCCCTTGCGCCCTTAGGGAGATTATCAACAAGTCCCTTGCGGAGGGACGGTTCCCGGGGGCACTCAAGGAAGCGATGGTCCGCCCTCTCTTGAAAAAGCCATCTCTGGATCCGACCGAATTGGCCAACTATAGGCCGGTTTCCAATTTGCCCTATTTGGGCAAATTAATTGAGAGGGCAGTGGTGATACAGCTGCAGAGCTATCTGGATGACGCTTCCGTATTAGATCCCTTCCAGTCCGGCTTCCGCCTGGGACATGGGACGGAGACAGCGCTGGTCACCCTTACTGACGACCTCCGGAGGCATCTGGATCGGGGTGGTTCGGCAGTGTTGCTGTTGCTCGATCTGTCAGCCGCGTTCGACTAGCCCACCACCTCACCGACATGGGGGGATACAGGGGCTTGCCTTGCAGTGGCTTGTTTCCTTTCTCCAAGGTCGGGGACAAAGGGTGGCGCTGGGGGAACAGCAGTCCCGGAGGCACCTGCTTGAGTGTGGAGTGCCTCAGGGGGCGGCGCTTTCCCCGATGCTCTTCAATATCTACATGCGCCCCCTTGCCCAGATTGCCCGGAGGTTTGGGCTGGGCTGTCACCAGTACGCTGAAGACACCAAGCTCTATCTGATGTTGGATGGTCAGTCAGACTCCAGACCGGAAGATCTGGACCAGGCATTGCACGCTGTGGCTGAGTCGGCTGAAGCCAAACCCGGTGAAGACGGAGGTTGATGCTCCCACTCCCGGCCTTTGACGGGGCGACATTGGTGCCTGCGCCGGTGGTTAGGAGTTTGGGAGTGCTCCTGGAACCCTCCCTGGCAATGGAGGCCCAGGTAGCAGCTACTGCTAAGTCGGCCTTCTACCACCTGCGGCTGGTTCGGCAATTGGCTCCCTTCCTCGATTGCGACAACCTGGCTACAGTGATCCACGCGATGGTCACCTCAAGGCTAGACTATTGTAACGCTCTCTACATGGGGCTGCCCTTGGAGCAAATCCAGAGGCTGCAGCTAGTGCAGAATGCCACGGCCAGGCTACTGATGTGTCTCCCTAGATCGGAGCACATCCAGCTGGTGCTGAAGGCGCTGCACTGGCTGCCAATAGCATACCGAATTCACTTCAAGGTGCTGGTACTTACCTTTAAAGCCCTATATGGCCAGGGTCCAACATATCTGAGGGACCGCCTTTCCCCATATATACCCCAGAGAGCACTACGGTTGGGGGCGCAACATCGACTGGTTATTCCAGGCCCCAGGGAAGCCAGGCTCAAGGCTACTAGAGCCAGGGCCTTCTCAGTGGCAGCTTCTTACTTGTGGAATGAGCTCCTGGAGGTGATCAGGGCCCTGTGGGATCTTGTGCAGTTCTGCAGGGCCTGCAAGATGGAGCTCTTCCACCAGGCCTTCAATTACGAGCCACCCATATTACCATCAACAACCACTATTAATATCTGTGGTGGAGGCTGGCTGCTGCGAGATTGAGCCAAACCGCCTAGCCTGTAATTGCCTGAGCCTGCATGACATGCTACGCCATCTTGGTTAATAATCACTGAGTGCACTTTAATCGAAAATCATTGATTGTTTAAATGTTTTAACAGTGTTAAATGTTTTAAGTTTTAAATGTTTTGACTGTATATGAACCTTGGCACACTATGCCAGGCAATGTGAGCTGCCCTGAGCCCGCTTGCGGGGAGGGCGGGTTATAAATACAACAAATAAATAAATAAAATCCACATGGAGCAGATTCACTGGACACAGTCCCTGCTTCGGGCAGTACAAGGAGAGCTGGCCACCAATACACACCACAGGGGTTCACGACACATCTGGCGCAGCAGGCAGCTTTAAAGACCACAGTCGTGAGAGTCTGACCCACACATCAAACAGTCATTAAGACTTATAAAGAATGCTATCTATGTATTACAATCTGAAGCACTACAATATGATAAACAAATCATAAGAAAATCCTTGAACCAAGGTACATAATCAACGTCGTCTCCGGATTATATAACACCGTTTCAAAAAATGGATCTTCTTCAGGAGATATTATAATGGTGCAAAAGCTCTCTGTTTCATAAGTGCTAGACAACAAGTCTTAAGAAATACTAAATTCAGATAAGACGCTGATCTCAGTTAACATTCAGGCTCGAAATATGCTGTTATGTTTCTAATGGATCCCGAGCGTCTAATGGCCTCGAATACCAGTATGCACAATCCATATCACATTTATGCAGCACCCAGCACTTCAAGACCACACACTCTGACATCTGTGGAAGGAGGAGGAGACCTCTCGGTGTCTCTGGCCCCAGGTCGAGGTGGCTGCTTCGGGAGGGCAGAGGTGCACTCCCCCCCTCCCACTTCTGCCTATGCCGGTGCCATCTGAGACCTCGCACTCCGAGATCCCCTTGACTATTAATAACCGCAGGATGCCTGTGAGAGCAGAGTCTCCAAGAGTCAAATTCACAGCACTCCGCATCAGCACTTTGTGCTGTGCAGACCCTGGTCAGGGAGTGTGTGGGGCCCTGGAATAACCAGGGGAAGGGGGGGGTCAAGAACCCGACAAGCCTCCTGCAGAACCACCCAGAGGAGGGACGCCAGAGACCCCGGCCTTTGCTTTTGCTGCGGGAGGCTCCGTGGAGTGGTCTGTGTATGTGTCTCTGAGCCTAAGGTGAGTCTCTCCCAGGACGGCTGAGCCAGGGATGGAGTGAGAGAGCAAGCATTGAGAGAGAGGCGGGAACAGGCAGTGGAGCAGGTTGCCTGGTGATGGGGGGGTGGAGGATTAAAAGGAGGCTCCGAGAAGGCAGAGGGACTAGGACCTGCGGACCTCTCCCTGGGGTCCCTTTACTCCTGAGGGTTACCAAAGGCTCTTTCCCCCTTGTGCAGTTGTATAGGCACTGGCCTCATTCTGACACTAGAGAAACAAAGACGCAGATATTCCCTGAAGCCCCTTGAACCTGACATGATCCACTCTTCCTATTTCCCTCTGAGCACCAAAAGGCACAACATTCCTTTAGCTGCTGCCCGGAATGTTCTGGAGAATTGCAAGCCCTCCCCTGCTCCCTTCTTGGCCTCATTAGACGCCCACAGGTCAGCTCTTCCCCCCAAAATCCCTCAATATATCACGCTTTGAGGGATGCCCAACTCCAGACGTTTCCCCCACTTGTCAGCCTCAGGCACGAGTCAGCCTCAGGCACGAGTACTAACCCTAACCCTTTGTGGCCCAGTCCCACAACTTCTCCCACTATTCCCCACCCATCTCCTTGTCTCCCAGAAGGCTCTGTGCATTTTCTCAGGGCACCTGCTGTTGCCTCTGACTCTCCACAGGTTTGGGCAAGGACTTCACAGCTGTGTTGCATAAAGCTCAGTTAGGAAGGAAGGAAGGAAACCCCAGACCTGATAATTAAGCCCAGGTGAGGAGGATACCATTTGCTAAACTGAGAAGAATTCTTCTCCTGGCCAAAGTGTTGATGGCAACAGAAGATACCTTCACATATCTTAAACGGCTTGAAACAGCACAACGTAATTCCTAAATGCATTTCAGATTTTGGGTGGAGGAGCTCTAACTCAGCTGAACTCTTGGGACTGAATCAAGAATTACCGGGCAATATTTTCACTTGTCTTAAACCAGACGACAATCGTACTGTCCTCTGCCCTTGACATCTAGGAATAATGAAGGGGAAGTCTTGTTTGTAATTGACATGCTCCTCAAATCCTCTCAGCCTAATGCCTGGACTTCTGTCGTTCTAATCAGAGAGGGGAGCGCCGGACTGAGCTGCCCCACGCAAGGATTTCTCCTTCGGCTCTAAATAGAAGGAGCAATCCGCTCCCTGGCTATCAGTTGTGCCATCTGTCAGAGAAGCTCTACCTAGTTTTCTCGGGCTGAAAACTTGGCATGTAGATTCCATATCTCTCACACACACTTTATTGTGGTTCTCAGGTGGTTTTCTTAAATGGAACCGCTGTCTTTATTCTGGAGAGCAAACAAGGCTAATAATTCAGGCTGTAGAAATCCTCTCAAACCTTAGCCTGCATTCTTCAGCTTGTCAAGGGGGGAGGGGAGCAAAAGGGAGAGTGGGGGATCCATTGACCCCATTCTAAGGCAGGTTGGAGGGAAAAATCTGAAACATCCCAATTTTAACAAACATAAAGCAACTTACTTAGCCAAACTGTACTCCCCACCCCTTGTTCTGTATTTCTGGCATAAGTTACCTCTGTGTTCATGAAAACAAAGAAATGGGTTATTCCTACATAATGTTTTATGGGGAAAGAAATAACGTTTTGATTTTGAAGACACTGTCCTAAGCGTTAAAAAAGACAACAAAACATTGAGCCATTTGACTCCAGCAAGTATATTTAAAGATGATAAACCTGTGTTGTCTGAATGTGGTGTGTATTGTAAATATATTTATATTTATCCACTGTTGAAAGTACATTATGGCCCTCAGAGACAAAATACAGTGTACTGAGGCCAAACAGACAGACAAAAGTTTTAAAATGAACAGATCCATGGGATCCAATGTGAGGTTTCCATTTCTAAGCAAACTTTTGTGACTTTAGAGGTCAGAAGCAGGAAATTAACTACTGGAAGTGGAGGGAAGAGACCCTGTCAGTGGAGGACACAGACCCAGCCAAGTTGATCTGCGGAAGCAGAAGACCAAACCAAGGAGCACGCCTTAGAGACCCACAGGACGTTCAGGGTAGAATCTTTTGGGAGAGTCAGAGCTCCCTTCGTCAGATACCATTTGACTCTCGACAGCTTCTGCCCTGGAAATCTTGTTGGTCTTTAACATGCTTCGAGGCTCAAATCTTGCTTTCCAGACCCTGCAAATGGCACCCAGTCATCTGTTAATGTGGCAACCAGCTGCACTCCAGGGAAGGGACCCATTCTTTGAAAGAGAGTGGATATAGGGGGAGTATGTAAAATATTATTCCGTGATATCCAGGAGGACTACAAGATTAATTGCCTCAAGGTATGACGCCGATCAGACTTCTAGGTAGCCTTATAGGGAACGGTGCTCTCGGGCCTGCAGAATGGGTACCAGGGACATTGGGAAATGTCAGCAAGACGTTCCGGATGCTAAATTTAGGCTGTTAGGTAAGAAAGTAAAGTTGGGACCTCCATGGTGGCTTTCTTTAAATATACCTCTCATTTCCAGAGAGAGACCAAGCAGGCAGGCAAAGGGCCTGATTTGCCAAGTATTAATCAGAAAACCATGTTAAAAAAACAAACAAAAACACCAGAGTTTTATTTGATGTTAACTAAGGCATCTTCTGTGAGGAAAGAAAAAACATCAATGAGTTTTAATGAAAGAAAGCTTGGAGAAGTCCGATAAAGAAAGAGAGAACTGGCCAGTCTTTGCAGAGAAAGCTCTGTGAAAGAAATTACTAATCTATTAGCCGTATGGAGGAGCCAACCACCCGGGGGGGGGGGGGGGGGGTTGCAGCCATCATCGAATCTTTTCACAGCATGAACTTTACTACAAATCTGATGGCTTTGCTGTAGACCCAGTCCCAAAAGATTGTGAAGGTGCTTCCTCTCCTCCCGTTAAAGCAAGGGATTCTCCCCCCCCCCTTTTGTTTGTTTGTTTTTAACAAAACCTTTTAAAGTACACTTTGTAACTTCTGAAGCTTGGCATGAGCGCTTATATTTGCTGTGAACACCTGAAATAACTAATTAGCTTCCCAACACAGACACGTATTACACTTCCCTTCCGCTTCTCAAATGGCACAGCATTCGCTCCATGGAGATCAGCTTTGAGGAAGAAGAAATCAGCAGTGGGTGAACTGATCCTCGCCTACCTGAGGTAGATCCATTCCTCTGGATTTGATCTACAAGCTGTACATAAATGCAAGGCATAGGCTCTGTAGACCTGGGCGTAAATCCCCACTCAGCAATTAAGAAGAAGAAGAGAAGAGATTGGACTGATACCCCATGGCCCTTCACAACCAAAAGTGTCTCAGAGCAGTTTACAGGCTCCTTTCCCTTCCCCTCCCCACCACAGACACCCTGTGAGGCGGATGGGGATGAGTGACAGAAACTGCTCTTTTTCAAGGACAGTTGTGCCAGAACTATGGCTTGCCCAAGGTCACCCAGCCAGGTGCAAGTGGAGGAGGAGTGGAGAATAAAATCAGGTTCTCCCAGCGTAGAGTCCGCGCACTTCACCGCTACAGTTTGGTGTAGTGGTTAAGTGCGCAGACTCTAATCTGGGAGAACCGGGTTTGATTCCCCACTCCTCCACTTGCACCTGCTAATGTGACCTTGGGTCAGTCACAAGCTCTGGCACAGCTGTTCCTGAAAGAGCAGTTTGTGTCAGAGCTCTCTCAGCCCCACCCACCTCACAGGGTGTCTGTTGTGGGGAGGGGAAGGGAAAGGAGTTTGTAAGCCGCTCTGAGACACCTTTGGGTAGTGAAGGGCGGGGTATAAATCCAATCTCTTCTCTTCTTCTTCTTCTACACCAAACTGGCTCTCACTAGATTGACCTCACTGGATACCCTAAGCACATCACTGCTCTCCCTCCTACACTTGGTGTTGGAATAAAAAGGCATAACCCCATCCCTGTAGCCAGAAATTTGGGGTTGGTGGGGCATGGGGAAATTTTGTGAGAGAGCAGGGAAGGGCGGAGCCACACACCTTCTCTGAATGCCAAGCAGCAAAAGCCCTCGCAGGAGGTGATGGAGAGGGGCGGCTGCTGGCTGCACATCTTCCCTGAACTCCAAGCGGCACCACTTGGAGTTCAGGGAAGGTGTGCAGCCGGCAGTCGCCCCTCTCCCCCTGCAAGGGCGGGGGTGGCCGCACACCTTCCCTGAACTTCAAGGGGTGATTTCGCCACTTGGATTTCAGGCGTGGGCAGCCCCCACTAGAAAGACAGCATTTCCCTTTAAATGCCTTTTTTGGAAGAAGGGAAGGAGAGGGGTGGCTGCAAGGTTTAAAGGGGCCTCCAGTTGATTGGTGGGCCACTGAGCAGCTGGAGGGCCCTTTTAATGTCACAGGAGGGGAGGGGGAGAGGGCAGCAGCTGTTGTGGGGCTTGCCTCATATTTGAGGGGGCGAAGCCCCAAAATGCCCTGCGGTAGCTACGGGCCGGGATTAAAATTCAGAGCTTGTCATTAGATATGGTACAGTAGATTCTCTAAAGGAAAATAAACTGCATACATCCTGCCAAGTTAAATGTAGAACTTTAAGTCTTGCCCTCAAACAGAGGCATACCAATTTAACAATATGACAAAGAATAGAGACAGTAGCAAACATACCAAAATGTTGGTGAGAAGTTGGTGCTGAATGGGGCCATTGGGAAAAGCTCAATCCGCACCATCAGTGTAACAGATGAGGGAAACCCACTTGGGCTGCATCAAGTATGGCGCTTGTGGACGCTTGTGTCAAAGAACGTTTCACCTGAACGAGGGACCATCACAGAGCATCAGTTCTCATGACTGAATGTATAATTGGAAAACACATTATTAAACTGGAAGGCATTTCTCTGTTTTTTGATGGGTTCATTTTACTGTTAATGAGAATGAATAATTTGAGAATCATTCTGGAATTTCCCAAATAGGTCCTTGTAATAGACTTCACAGCTTTCAAACTGGTAGTCATATGTAACAAAGCCAGTTCCTAGGTTCTACCAAGAAGCTATGTTCAAAAAGAGTCCATTATGAGTAAAGTGGGTTCC